TTCCTCTATAAGACTCCCCCTGGGGCTTCGGCACAGCGCGCCAACCACTGGGAAAGCCCTCACATTCCGGTCCCCATTTGGCCCCATCGGCTCCAAGACGGCCAAGGTGGCCTCAAAGATGCATCCAATACGGCCAAGATGGCCTCATGAGAGCTCAAGATTGCCCCAAGATGGCTTCCAAGACGGTCCCAAGATGCTTCCACGACCGCAGAGATGGTCCAAGAGAGCTCACGACGGCACCAGAAGCGCCCAAAAGGCCCCGCAGACGGTTCAAGCGGCCTCCAAGAGGTCTTCCAGGAAGGCTCCACGGATAAGAATCATTGATTTCCAGTCGGTGTTTGAACATTTTCGCGCTTGCTTCAATATGGCTTTCTGACGGCCCACGACGGCCCAAGAGGCCCCCCAAATGCCCCAAAGATCGCCCAAGAGGCCTCCGAGATGGCCCCAGGCTGGCCCAAGAGGCTCCCACAACAGCCCCTTCAAGGGCCCCCAGACGCCCAAGAGGCTTCCCAGACGCTCAAGATGGCCGACGGGCAAAATACACCCAAGATAATCCAAGATGGCCGCAAGATGTCTCAACCAAGATTGCCTAAGATGGCTTCAAGATTACCAAGGACGACCCAAGCAGCGCCCAAGAGGCCCCGACGACGGTTCAGGAGGCCACCAAGGGATACTCCAGGAAGACTCCCCGAGGCCAGAACCAGTGATTCCCCTTGCATTATTTTGCGGGTGTTCTGTTATTTGCTTCACAGGGCCTTCCGACGACACACGACGGCTCAAGAGGCTTCCAAGATTGCCCGAAGACCGCCCACAAGGACTCTAAGCTGGCCCCAGGGCGGCGCAAGAGGCTCCGAGGACAGCCCCATTGAAGGGCCCCCAGACGGCCACAGTGTCCCCAAGATAACCTAAGACAACCGCACGATGTCTCCAATACGCCCCAGAATGCACCCAGGACGGCCTACGATGACCTGAACATTCCGAGGACGGCCCTGGAAGTTCCCAGATGACCCCGACGACGGCTCAGGAAGCCTCCGCGAGGTCCTCCAGGAAGAGCCCCCAAGGTGTCAGAATCATTGCTTTGCCGCATGTGTTTGACGGTGATGGCAGTTTGTTCCCAACGGCCGCCCGACGGCCCAAGACTGCCCAAGCGCCCCCTCCTGTGCACACGTGCTGCTATGTCAATAACATGTCCAGAGTATAGTTCACATGAGTGCTGAACGTGTCAACCCTATGTCCAACTGTTCTGTCCTACTTTACCTACTTCGATGCCTCCTTTCATGATGCACGATCTCCATGGCTGCTCCGACTTAGAAAAAAATAACGCTGCAAACTGCAACCCTAAATCTAACGATCCTTCCTTCGCCCGGCGGTAACGAAAGAACTTTTGGAGCCACCCTCGAAGATTTGATCACGCGCCTCCCCCACAAATCAACTCCTCCACTGGTTGGCACAACCCGAAGCTTAACTCGTATCATTCTTCACGACTGACCGGGGGCTGTACCTCCACTGATCGCGCTGCCATGCAAACATCGCTACCCTGCGAATATCTTACCGAGAATCCGAGGATGCCTTGTAAGAGGATCGCAGACTACAACGTTGCTTAGTCGGTGCGGTACGATACTCATCCGCCAACAGAGTGAGCCAGACGGCGACGTAAGGTCACACCCAGCCATCCTCTGCCCTCCTCTTCCTCTCCTGCCTCTTCCTCATCCTCCTCCTCCGCCCCTCCCACCTCCTCTGTCCCATCCTCTCCTCCCTCCTCCCTCCAGTCCCCCCCCCTCCGACAGGTTCATCCTAGCAATCCGCAGAAACAGGAGCGTGGAAACACAGAGGACCGAACCGACAAATTAAGCATCTGGGCGCTATTTACCCCCGTCTCGCCATCTTAACAGGCCTGCAGCCGCTCTGGAGGACTGTCCCTCCTCGACGATTCCTCGAACAGTCCAGAAGCCCAAGCGGAGGGGGGGCAGGAGAAAAATTGGGAGGTGGTAAGAGTGAGTGTGGGGTGGGAGGTAGAGAGCGGAGAGGGGGAGGGGGAGAAAGGAGAGAGGAAGGAGGTCTCAAGAGAGGAGGGGGGAGGGAGAGGGCAGGCAGGGGAAGGGGGAGGAAGGAGAGAGGATGGATGGGAGTGGGAAGGAGGAGGGAGGGGACGAATTCGAGGGATTGGTTGACTGCTGTAGTGGTGCAAGCAGCGTAAAACCAAGGAGGTTCCCTTGGGCCCTCCCTTACGGCCCTCTTCGTCGGGAGTCTCGGCCTCCTCTGGCGCCTAAGCGGCACTGGCTTAGAAAGGAATGGGGGGCCTCACAGCCGCATGAGTGACACGGAACCTGTCAGGACCGCGGCACCACGGGCAAGAGAAGAGTGACCCCAACGTAACAGAACCCGTCGGGGCCACGGAGCCCGACGGAACCGTGGCAGCTTGAATGCGTCATGGGCAGAGGGGGTGGCCCTACTGCGAGCAATACTTGTGTCCATAAGCCGGGGGTTCCGGGCTCCATTCCCCGGATACCCCCGAGGAGCGCTGGATGTGGATAAGAATCTGGGCCCGAGGGCTCGATCTCTGCTCCTATCCAGTGCGCCTCGGCCTCGGGGCGACCCTCGCAGGATCCTAGGAGGAGGAGGAGGAAGAGGAGAAGGAGGAGGAGGAGGAGGAGGAGCAGGAGGAGGAGGAGGAGGAGGAGGAGGAGGAGGAAATGGAGGAGGGGGAGCAGGGAGGAAAAGGGGGGAGGAGGAGGAGGAGGAGGAGGACTGGACGTTGAAACACGACTCCTGCCCGCACATACAAAGGGGCAGAGGCGGAGGCCCTGCCTAACACACCTGCGCCCAGTGCGGCAGACGGAGGTGGCAGGGGGGGGGGAATCCGATCGGCATTCCTCGCCTCCTCTCGGGTCGGGGGAAAGGGGGGGATAGCAAAGGGGGGGTTGAGAATCAGCTCACGTAGCTGATTTTCCCGGCGCCTCCCGGCGCCGGAGGCGGCTATGTATCGAGGAATGGGCCCCTCGGTGAGGCCGAAACCAGCTGCATGCAGCAAATTTCGTAACCCCCCCTTTCCCAATCCCCCCCTTTCGCCTGGCCCGATCCTCGCCCCGAATCACGGGGAGTCCTCGAATCCGAACAGCACTCCTCGCCCCGAATCACAGGGAGTCCGTGCAGCTAAAGACGAATAGACGCGGCCCGCGCCTTCTAAGCAGGGCCCTCCTTCTGAGAAGCCTTCCCCCCTCCCCATACCCCCCTCGCGCGCCGCCAGCCTAAGGCGGGACTCCTGAAATGGGGAGTACCGGAAGCTCCCATCAACCCCTTCTTGGCCAGGAGGGGGAAATGGACACGGGCACAAATAAACGCAGCCTTCGATGGGACATTGGCAAAATTTGACACGGGGGAAGACGCACATCCAGGAATTTGACATTTCGAGCGTCTCTCTGGGCCCCTTCCTTCTTGTGGGGGAGGGGGAAGAAGGAGAGGCGGGCGAGGAGGACGAAGGGGCGGCGCGGGACAGGCGAGGGGAAAGGAAGAAGGGGGAGTGGCGATGGCATCGTTTCCGCCAGCACCTGCTTGCGCCGCTATCCCGCGGAAAATGTGCGTTCCTGCATGTGTTTTTTAGGTCCCGGCCCCGTGGAGAAGGGGGGGGTGGGGAGAGAAGTGATGGGAGCCAAGGGACAAACAAGTAAATGGACACAAATCCAAGGATTTCCCATCTTTTTCCGTATCTGCTGGATGTTCGTCTGCCCCGCCACTTCCATTAGTTTCCAGCGATTTCTGTGGAATCAACACATTTGTGTCTGTGTGCTTGTTCCCCCCCCCGGAAGGAGGGACGGGCGAGGGAGGGCTACCGAGGAGGGGGCACGCAAGGGGGGGAAGCTCAAGGCGGGAGGGGGGCAGAGGACGACGGGGATCGGGCGGAAGGGCTGGGGAACGCGGGGAGGGGGCAGGAACGGAGGACCCAGGGACAAGGGCGGGAGGAGGCCGAAGGGGGGAACGGGGAGGCGGGCAGGAGGGACACCGAGGCGATCGAAGAGGCCCTGGCTCCTCTGTCGTGCTCCTGCCGCCGCATGCTCGGGCAGCCGCGCAGGAGCGGAGAGCCGGGCGGCCGGGGCACGAGCAGGCCGGCCCTCCTGCCGGCTGCGCGCGGAGGTGCACTCGGCGGCGCGCCTGGTGGGGGGCAAGCGAGAAGGGGCGGGCCTTCTCAGGAGGCCAGGGAGTGACTACCTACCAGACCACCCCAACCCAACCCGAAGACCCGAATTTCGGGTTGGGGGGGGTATATGGGCTCCATTCGTGTTTTTTCGATGTTCCCGGACCCTCCCCCCCACTAGAAATCGAGGGTAAATCTGAGCCTTCGGGTTCCCAGATGGTCTGGTACCGGAAATTTTCGGTAGCGATTTCGACGCGCCCCGAATTTCGGTAGCGACCGGATCTTCGTTTGAGGGCGTTGAAATAGCGGATTTCAGAACGCTCTGATACCGGTATTGGGCGCTACATTTCGGTATTTCGGTAGCGACCGATCTCTGCGGAGCGCTACCGGAAATTTTCGGTAGCGGACCATCAGGGTTGGGTTGGGGTGGTTTGGTGGGTGGTGAGGGAGTCCCCCAGCCTTCCGAGAAGCCGTCGGAGCCTTCCCCTGGAGACGCCGGAAACCTCTCGGGAGGCCGGGGCCCATCTGTGAGGCCCCGCCGCCTTCTGGGAAGGCCTGCTCCTTCTCGCTTCCTCCCCTCGCTCGCCGCCGATTTGGAGGAAGACGCAACCAACAGAGGTCTCCTAGATGGGGTCCGAGTGGACAGGGTCGGAGGACCGCGTCGCATCGCCAATGCATCGCCGATGCATCGGCGATGCATCACCGACGTCGGCGACGCATCGGCGACGTCGGCGTGGAGAACATCGAGCTCCGCATCGAGCCGCATCGCCGATGCATCAGCGATGCTGCGCGACCCTCCGACCCCATCTACTCCGATCCCATCTAGGAGGCCTAGAGCAAGCTGGCGCTGCGCGAAGCGGTGGCCGACTTAGCACTCACCTGCTTCGACAGTCCAGCCGGGAGTCGCGGACCGAGAAGCCGAGCCCTCAGCACACCGGCGCTGCCGTGCTTCTGGAAGGCCCGAGCGGGGCGGTCGACCGAGGGCAGCCGACCAAGCAACGAAACCACCACACGTGTGCGAGGATCACAAACGGAACTTGCGCGAGATGGCGTAGCGACCTTACGCGGTGGCTTGGAGGCGAGGGCGCTCACGCGCCACCCTGAGCGGGCAACAACTGACGCGCCAACGTCGGCGCAGACGACCCCCTGTCCTTTGCGTCACGCGTGCGCTCTCATGAGGTCCCTTCAGATGTCCTGGGTCGGGGATGCCCCCCCCCAACCACTCCCAGGCGCAGGCGCGAAGCGCGCCGTCGGCGGCGCCGAAGGCGCCGCCGCTGAGTGTGCGGGGAGGAAGCCCCAGCGCCGACCGGGAAGGGCCGCACGGATCCCTGCAGAGTGCATGTCGATGTGAGCTGCCGTTGCGGCCGCTGCGAACCTGGGCCGCTGCGTGCTTATGACGACCTCCGTGGCCTGCGTCTGCCCCCTCTGCTCTCCCCGTCCCTCCGCGGCCGCCCCGCTCCTCTTGCTCAGGCCTCCTGCAGTGCACAGGGCGCTGTCCGGTGCCCCCGGGCCGCTCGCAGTGCTGCTGTTGTAGTTGCCGTGTTGGCAGGGGCCATTCGCGCATCACCATGGCCCCTGCAGTGGCGGATAAGAATGCGAGTGGGCGGGCGGGGGGGGGGGGGGGGGGGGGGGGGGGCGGTCATCGGTTGTTTGCGAGGCTCAAAGGCCAATTTGAAGAGAACCGCCGCAGGCGCCTGTTATCTACACATTGCACAACGAGCCCGTGGGTCGCGGGAGGGCCACGGGTTGGGTGGCGGGTGGGCCGGGGGTGGTTCTCGGTGGTTCAAAGATGGGGTCCTGAGGGGTGGGGTCCTGAGGGGGGGGGGGGGTCCTGTGGGGTGGGGCTAACACAACACAGCAAGTATCGATTCTTGAGTTAGTGAGGCGCTTGAAGTAGACTTGGATCTGGGATCCCAGAAATACCTACTTCCAACGACCGACGTGCTCGAAGATGCTCGACACTCTCCAGCCCGCGGATGATGATGATGATGAGGAGGAGAAGGAGGAGGAGGAGGGGAGGAGGGGAGGAGAAGGAGGAGTTCTCCTCCTCCTCCTCCTCCTCCTCCTCCTCCTCCTCTCCCTCCTCCTCCTCCTCCTCCTCCTCCTCCTCCTCCTCCTCCTCCTCCTCCTCCCCTCCTCCTCCTCCTCCTCCCCTCCTCCTCCTCCTCCCTCCTCCTCCTCCTCCTCCTCCTCCCTCCTCCTCCTCCTCCTCCTCCTCCTCCTCCTCCTCTTCCTCCTCCTCCTCCTCCTCCTCCTCCTCCTCCTCCTCCTCCTCCTCCTCCTCCTCCTCCTCCTCCTCCTCCTCCTCGCCGCCGTGGGCCCGCCGCGCGCCGCCGCAGGGGGCCGCGAAGGGGCCCGCCGTCGGCCCCTCCCCGAGGCACGGCCCCGCCCCCGCGCGGCGCGAGAGGGCGGCGTCACTGCAGCACGCAGCCCTTCTGCGTAAGTCGGGCATGTCCCTCTGCAGGAGTCGGGCGCTGGCAGAACTGGGTCTAGTGGAACCTGGTTCAGGGATCTGTACGGGGGGCGCCCCCCCGTCCCGTGTCCACTAAGACCGGAACTGCCGCCGCCCGAAACAAACACCAGCCATGGCAAACCTGGTTCAGTGATTCTGGCCAATTCGAAGGCCCCGGGGCCCTGCCACCAAACGGGTCCCCTTAACCCGGGGGCCTGGCCATACCCGAAGGAGGAATGTTCAGAAATTGTTGAAACAATCTGGGACGATGTTTCGACTATTTTTGAATATGTTCCCTGGCTATGTTTAATCTTTCCTCCAAAATCCCCCTGTAGGAGGACATGCCCGACCTAACCTTCTGCGCCGGGCCCGCCCCGCCCCCGCTGGGGCGGCCCTCCGCGGGGGCGGCCCCGCCGCCGCCGTCCTCGCCGCTGGGCCAGGCAGCCCCAAGGAGGGGCAGCTCTGGGGGGAGGGTCGCCACCTGCCCTGACTTCCTCGCGCCGCGAGCAGAAACATCGCGGCCACGGATTCTCGGTGACGCTCGACCTCCCGGCCTCGCTGCTTGCCCTGGGGACCGTCTCAAGACGCCCGACGGAGAACTGGCGCCGGGGAAAGGGTCCGTGCCTCGGGGAGGAGGAGGAGGGGGAGGAGGAGGAGGAGGAGGAGGAGGAGGAGGAGGAGGAGGAGGGGGGAGGAGGACGGGGAAAGGAGGAGGGAGGAGGAGGAGGAGAGGAGGAGGAGGAGGAGGAGGAGGAGGAGGAGGGGGGAGGAGGAGGAGGAGGAGGAGGAGGAGGAGGAGGTGGAGCGAGAGGGGGGTCGAGGATCGAAGCCCTTGGGAAAAGCTCTTCGGGGGGGGGGGAGGAGGAGCGGCAGAGGAGGCAGAGGAGGAGGAGGAGGAGGAGGAGGAGGAGGAGGAGGAGGAGGAGGAGGAGGAGGAGGGAGGAGGAGAGAGGGAGGAGAGGAGGCAGAGGAGGCAGAGGAGGAGGAGGGCGAGGGAGGAGGAGGAGGAGGGGAGGAGGAGGAGAGGAGGAGGAGGAGGAGGAGGAGGAGGAGGAGGAGGACCACATGCGACGTCGGGTGTCTGGGCCATCGTGTGGAGCGAGAGGGGGGTCGAGGATCGAAGCCCTTGGGAGAAGCCTCTTCGGGGGGCGGGGAGGAGGAGGCGGCAGAGGAGGCAGAGGAGGAGGAGGAGGAGGAGGAGGCAGAGGAGGCAGAGGAGGAGGAGGAGGCAGAGGAGGAGGAGGAGGAGGAGGCAGAGGAGGCAGAGGAGGCAGAGGAGGAGGAGGCAGAGGAGGAGGCAGAGGAGGAGGGGTGGCTCAGAGGAACCGATGCCGATCCCGCTGCCCCGCCCTCGTCGCCACGGCTGGATTCGCATCGAGACCCTGGTCAGAGCGCACCCTTCGAGAGGTCCAGGAAGCACACTTTTCGGTCGGAAGAAGTACAATCGGGGCGGTGACCTAAGGAACCCTGAATAAGGAACGAGGCCCGTTTTCCATAAGTTTAACTTCGATCTCCCATCGAAAACCTAAGGACAATGTGAGGCAAACTGTGAAACGATTAAGGGTTCCTTCTTCAGCGCCCCGACCGTAGGTGGAAGCATGAAGTCGAGAGCGGAGAAAGTCAGATCGGGCGCGGGCCCGCCCCCCCCCCCAAAAAAAAAGGCAGCAAACACGGATCGACTCTTGAAATCGGAAGGCGCTGGCAGCGGATTGGGAGCCGGGGATCCGCACGTACCTGCTTTCAACGAGCGACCTGTACGGTCGGGATGGATCGGAGAGGGCACGCGAGAGGACACAGGACCCTTCCGAGGGCCACATTGCCACGGCAGTGCAGAAGGCTCGTGTCGCGAACGCACAGGACACAAAAAAGTACACCCTGCGAAGTGCTTTAGAAATCATGGGGTCAGAAACTCATGGTCTCAGAATTTGCACTAAAACCCAGCATGTCTAGTCAAATCTCAGGATCCACATTGAAACATTAAGAATCATCGAGACTCTGGCCGAAAACTTGGCTTTCCTTAAGCGTCGCCCCAGAGAGGGCCCTTGGCTTGGCAGGGCCGGCCTACCAGTCCGGCTCGACCGCAGCGGTGATTATCGGCACCCTGTTGCTCCGCACGGGTCGAGGGCCAGAGCAGCCTCTGGGCTTATGCTGTTGAAGGGGGGCCCCAGGACACACAAACAAGTACACACAAATAAACATATTCAATATATTCCCCATATGTTCCTATATTTTCCTGTGTTTTTTTATTTACCTAACAGCGAAGACTGATAGGTTTCTAGTAGGGTCAAAAGAGAGCATCATGACTCCTCAGGGGGGTTGGGGCGGGACCCGGGGCGGCTGCCGTCGAAGCCCAAATCGCCTGGGACATCCTCGCAAAATCGCTCTTGGCGCTGCTAGAACTCCATTCCCGGCGTACATTTTGGATGCCCGGAGCCAACTGTAGGCCACTTCGTGGTCTTCGAGTTCCCAGAACTCCATTCCCGGGCCACATTTTGGATGCCCGGAGCCAACTGTAGGCCACTTCGTGGTCTTCGTGCTCCCAGAACACCATTCCCGGGCCACATTTTGGATGCCCGGAGCCAGCTGTAGGCCACTTCGTGTTCTTCGTGTTCCCAGAACACCATTCCCAGGCTACATTTTGATTGCCCGGAGCCAGCTGTGAGGCTGAGGCTGAGGCAGGCTGAGGCTGAGGCAGGCTGAGACTGAGCCTGAGGCAGGCTGAGGCTGAGGCTGAGGCTGATGCAGGCTGAGGCTGAGGCAGGCTGAGGCTGAGGCTGAGGCTGAGGCTGAGGCAGGCTGAGGCTGAGCTGAGGCTGAGGCTGAGGCTGAGGCTGAGGCTGCTGAGGCTGAGGCTGAGGCTGAGGCGGCTGAGGCTGAGGCTGAGGCTGAGGCTGAGGCTGCAGGCTGAGGCTGAGGCAGGAGGCAGGCTGAGGCTGAGGCCGAGGCAGGCTGAGGCTGAGGCCGAGGCAAGCCCAGGCAGGCTGAGGCTGAGGCTGAAGCTGAGGCAGGCTGAGGCTGAGGCTGTGGCTGAGGCTGAAGCAAGTTGCGGCTGAGGCTGAGGCTGAGGCAGGCTGAGGCTGAGGCTAATGCAGGCTGAGAGGCTGAGAGGCTGACGCTGAGGCTGAGGCAGGCTGAGGCTGAGGCTGAGGCCGAGGCAGGCTGAGGCTGAGGCCGAGGCAAGCCGAGGCAGGCTGAGGCTGAGGCTGAGGCTGAGGCAGGCTGAGGCTGAGGCTGTGGCTGAGGCTGAGACAAGCTGCGGCTGAGGCAGGCTGAGGCTGAGGCTGATGCAGGCTGAGGCTGAGGCAGGCTGAGGCTGAGGCTGAAGCAGGCTGAGGCTGAGGCTGAGGCCGAGGCAGGCTGAGGCTGAGGCCGAGGCAAGCCGAGGCAGGCTGAGGCTTCGACTGCGAGAACAGCAGAATTCTACAACCGGATTCTCACCGAAATCTTAAGGGGAATGCCGTCAGATATGCTTCTACACATCGCTGTTAGGTTGCGTTGCCGGGATAGTTTCCTATATGTTCCTATATTTTTATATGTACCCATATGTTTCTGGGTTTTTGTCTTCCCCCACACTTCCCATATGTTCCCATATTTTCGCTGGAATCGACGATTCATTGTGTCTGTGTGTTTCTTCTCCTCCTGATGCATGTTGTTCCCATCCTACTTATAAGGACCACACCCCAAACATAATTTCGAGCACCCAGGGCCCGACACGTGAAAACCCTTGAGTTGCGGTACTGCTTCTGGCGCTCCACATTCTTCCTGGTGATCCAGGCTCAACGAGGTTGGAGAACATCACACGCACGGGTCGAGGGCTAGGCAACCTCTGGGCGTGTTTGGTCTCTGCGGCCTGGGCGGTCGCGGGCCAGAAGGGGGAAGCACTGGCCCCCACCTTCGCCTGGAGGTAGCGCCCCCCTATTTCGAGTAGGCGATCGACTACAGAATCGGCTTACCTCGAAATTGATGGCCTCGCCGAATCTGTCAAAATAGCAAGAGGCTCCGCAGGTCTGCTCAGACTCGACGACCGAATCAGTGGGGGGGCAGATCAAACTCTGTAGTCGCTCTCCTACCTGACTATCGGGCGACCCCCTTTGGTGCTGCCTGGGCTGAACATCATGGTGGATGAGCCTCGCAGCTGCAAGTCGCGAGGGGCCTTCCGGTGGATGCCGACCATGTCCGGGAGCGCGTCCTTCCAGAAGGTGCCCCTGGAGAAGGTGCCGATGGCCTGAAATCCCCACCGGCCGCCGTCCTCCCTGAAGAGGCGGGCTATGATCAGGCAAGACTCTCGGCCGGCCTCTGTGAGCACGTAGCGCGCCATCTCGTCGCCGCGGGCGTCGAAGACGCGGCAGTACGCGTTGCTCACCTGCTGGAAGGTGACGCCTTTCGTGTAGACGTTCACGACGAAGAAGCCGCCAGCCCTCCTTGGAGCGCCAGGCCATGGACGTCCCTGCTGTGGACTGCTGCCTCGCTGGTGCGAACGATCTGCCGTCTTTCATGCTTCGTCTTGCCCCCTGATTCATCCGTGCTGCCGTTTTCCATCTCAGACTTCGAGTGGCAGACTCCAATCATGTCTTGTGATGCGAAGGATTGCAAACAAAACCCTCGTGAACGAGGGATTGCAAAAAACCCTTCGTTCAAGCGAGGGTTTTTTTGCAATCCTTCGGTTTTTTTTGCAATCCTGTTTTTTTTGCAAAACTCCTCGGCCCTCGCTTCCCTTCCTTCGCCGCGCGTGCTGGATAATGTATACTGCCCCCCCCGGTTCCTGCCTCTCGCCTCGCCCGCCCTCTCTCCGTCGTGCTGTCGACTGCGGAGGGGCCGTGCCCCTGGGAGGCCACTCGAGGGGGGGGGGTCCGCCTCGAAGGATTGCAAACAAAAAAACCCAGGATTGCAAAAAAACTTCTGTTTTTTTGCAATCCTTGGTTTTTTTTTGCAATCCTTCGTGCAAAAAAACCCAGGATTGCAATCCTTCGCCCAGTCCTGGCCACCCAGCGGGATCCCTGCTGATGGGCAAACGGGCACAGTAGGCCCCCAGAAGCGTCCCAAGAGGGCCTGCAGAAGGCCCTGAGAGCCCAGGGCGGCATGAGATGGCCTCGAGGCGACCCCGATCCCACCAGCCGCCCTTTAGGGCCCGAGTGGTTCAGAGAGTTTCCGCTTCCAACCCGCTTCTTCCCCTTCGGGGATGGGCGTATCATTGTTCTCTGTACATGAACACCCCCTCCCCAAGGCGACCGGCAGCCAATCAAGACCAATGCGACTCCCCCCCACCCTGCGAAAAAAACAATGCGAAGCAAACTTTGTGGCAAAATCTTGGGTCAAACTCGTGGGCCCAGTGGGCACTTTGCATTGTGTTTTGACCGGGACGGCGGGGGTGCCCTCATACTGCCTGGTTTGCGCATGGCCACCATGCCTGTCAAAAACAATACAACATGCACTTCGCGGCTAAACCTGGATGGTGCGCGGTCACCCCGCGATCACACAACAGCGGCCGGCAGGTGGCGCGCGCGCAAGAGACACGAGGAGGGGCAGCGGGGAGTCTTACATTGCTTCACATTCGTGAATCCGAGTTTGACAAGAACCGCGGGAGTGCTGGCACATTGCCTGTTGTGTGCAGGCCCACCAGACACCCGACAAGGATAATGGGGGCCGACATGTTCCCGATATGTGCGGTCACGTGCGCGGGCGCACCTGGCGCACTCTGCGCGTGCCCCGAACGTGGCGCACCTGGCGCGGCTGGACCATGCGGCACACATGGCGCACGTGGCGCATCTGGCGCGCGAGGCGTGCCTGGCAAGTTTGGGCCCCAGGGGTGCCTGGCGCACCTGGAGCGCATGGCACGCGTGGTGCACCTCGCCCTATCCCGCACATGGGGTCTGTTTTGGTTCCCAGTGTCTGCCCACCTAGAGACGACCGCTGAACATGCTGAGGCCCGGGTACTACTTACATGTTGGGAGGGCGGGTGGACGCTAGCGAGACAACTTGCGGGCGAGGAGGGTGTCTTGACCCCTTGCCCTGCCCCCTGCCCCTGGATCTGGACGGGGCCTTTCGCGAGGTGTCAGAGGGCCTGTTGAGGCCTCCGCGAGAAGGCCGAAATCAACGATTGTACAAAGGACCACTATGGCTCAACTTGACGACATCGAGCTTCTCGAAGATGGCACCAAGATGGCCCCCGAGGCTCTCAAGGGTGTCTCAAAAGGGCCCCACGAGGTGTCTTGGAGGCCCCAAGAGGCCCCCAAGATGCCCCAAGATGTCTCAAGGAGGCTCCCACGAGACCCCCGAGAGACCCCCCGCAGGCATCCAAGACGCCCCGAGAAGCCCCCGGGACTGCCAAGAGACCCCCTAAGACGCCCCAAGCAGACTCCAAGGAGCTCTCAAAGAAATCCGAAGAGGCTCCAGGAGGCATCTACGAGGCCTTTCTGCTCGCCCTCCTCCTCCTTCGCCTTCTCCTCCGCCTTTTCCTCCTCCTTCCTCCTCCCTTCTCCGCCTCCCCCTCTCCCTACATGCCTTTCCTTTCCCTATGGATAAACCCTCCCTGTCGCACCCCGAGGCTGATCGAAAGGGCGGGCCAGGCGTTTCGCCTGAGACCTCCTCACACCCTGTGATCCTGAAGCTTGAGATCTGCAACAGCTTCACGGATGGACGGCGGTCCGACGTCAAAAGGTGGCTCCGACCCCAGCGCCGCGCGCCGTCATCTCCAATCTGTGCCAGAGCTGCACGGACGGAGTGCGGTCAGCTTTCGAGACGTGGCTCTCGCACTCGCGCCGCGCACACTTGTCGCAAGACTTTGCAACAGCGTCACGGATGGAGAGCGGCTTCAAGATGTGACTCTCGCCTTAGCGCCGCGCGCACTCGTCGCAAAAAAAGTTCCAGATCTTCACATATGGGGGGCGGTATGCTTTACAATGCTGCTCTCGCCACAGCGCCGCGACATTCGTCTGAAGAGGTTGCAGCATTTTGAAGGATTGTCATGGATAACGTCCCCAAAACAATGCTTCGGCACATGTCGGAACGTCAGGGCGCAACAGTCACGTTGATTCACGGTGTTGAACTCCCAGGACTGGTGTTCTGGCACGGTTCAGGATCGTCCATACGCAACAACAGCGACGGCCCGCGGCGTTGAAAACCCAGAAATGGCGTCCTGGCACAACTCCGAATGTTCAACGGGTTGTCTTCCAACGGGCATTTCCCTCAGTGAAAATGAATCCGTGTAGGAGCCTGTGAAGAGGGAACTTGGACGGAGGGTTTATTGCAATATCGTTGATGAGTATTGGGTTTGCACTGATCCCCCTCCTCCTCCTCCTCTTCCTTCTCCTCCTCCATCTTCCCCTCTTGGGGTATGACGTTTTACCCAGCCTTTTTGTTCCACTGCATGCTCCTCCACGTCCCTGATCAGGGCAACTCGTCTGGGCATCGTCTTTGGATGGGCTGATGAGGTTACGCAAAGCGCCTAGAATTCACCAGCCCAACGGGCAAGAGGCGTGCTGAAATCTCCGGTAACAACCGACTTGCCCATCCAATTAGATCGTGCGCGCGTGGCAGCCCCTGGGGGTTCCCCTATGAAGAACCCCGGCCGCAGCCTGGCCACCCTTTAGTCACATATGGTGTTGCTCCTGGGTGCGGCCTCCCAGGCCCCCCAGAGCACTCCAAGAGCGCCCCAACGGACCTCTAAGAGAGCCCCAAATGGTCCGAGACGGTCCAAGAGCGCTCAAAAACACCCAAGAGAATCTCTGGATGGCCCGGGACGCCTCCGAAACGCCGCCGAAACGCCTCAGAAGAGCCCCAAGAGAGCCCCCAGGAAGGGCCCAGGGGATAAACTCATTGATGTCCCGCCGGTTTTCAATGATTTGCGCGATCTTCCCTTTTCGTGGCTGGGGTCCTCCAAGACAAAAGGAGGTCTTCAACACCATCCCAAGACAGCCCAAGACACTCCCACTCAAGATGATTCAAGAGGGCCTAATACGTGCCATGAGGCCCTCCAAGAAGGCTCAATCAAGAGGTCCCGCAGAGGGTCAAACAAGATAAATTGAAACTGTCATTTGGAGCCCTTTCGCCCGAAGCTAGCCCTCGACACCGCCAGCAAGCTCCTACGGAGCTCCCCAGATGCCCCCAGAGGCTCCCAAAGGGCCGCCCAGAGTCTCCCAGAGGCTCCAAAAGCGCCCCCTAGAGGCCCCGAGAGACCCCCGAGACCTCAAAAATACCGCCACGAGGCTCCCCTGCAGCTCCGCGATGCGGACGAACGCTCGGCAAATCGACAGCGGTGAGACCCTGTGGGCGCTCGCCGTGCCTTAAAGCTCTCGAACATAGATGGTGAGACGAGGGATGACGGAGGAGAGCGAAATGGGCATGCGTAAAGCATGCTACGAGGGGCGTCGCCCATTCCGCCGGCCGATGATGCTTCGAAACTGTCTCGATGATGCCGATGTTCAATCCGCCGGCCCCCTTTGCGGGGCCATGAGGCTCTGCGGATTTGGCTCGCTGCTCCCTGCTGCACTTCCAGATTCCCGTCTCCGATGTTACAATTCTGCGGTTTGTTTCCTACTGTGACTTATTCAATCCGCGCGACGGGGGGGTAGCCGAAAAGGGCCTTGGTTACCCTCACCTGGGGGGGGGCTATCAGAATTTCTGGGCCCTGGCACACGTGAGAATACCTGAGATTCGCCCCACGGAGCCACATTCACATGTAGATTACCCCGTACTCGCGCCCCCGAAGTCGTACTCCCACGTAGATTACGCGATAGTCGCGTCCCGAAGCCATTCTCCAAGTTGCGCTGTGCTCGCGCTCCCGAAACAATATTGACGAGACAGTTGTTTTCTCGCGGCGAACGATCTGTGTAACAGTACCTTGGAGTACGCAGCGACGCCGACGGAGCAGAACGAAAAGAAATCGAGCTCTCGATATCTCGAACCTCGGAGCTCCGAAACTTAATCCTTTACGTACCCCCAAGCCGAGAAGGGGTGGCTGTGGGTGGGTGATGAAAGAAAAACGAGGCTTGAACACAAAGTCGAGTCACGGAAGAGGGGGGGTTGGAAGTTACTGGACCCCGACAATCCCAAAACTTAGCACGTGATTCCCGTGCTGCGCACACCCATGACGAGACAGTTTTTTTTTCCGCTGCGAACGATATGTCTAACAGTACCTTGGAATCCGCTGCGACGCCGACGGAGCATAACGAAAAGAAATCGAGCTCTCGAGATCTCGAACCTCGGAGCTCCGAAACTCAATCCTTTACATACCCCAAAGATGTCCCAAGGCTGGTGTGGCCCGGTTCACACACGTAGGTAAAACGAACGGATGGGAGCCAGAAGAGTTGCGGCTATTGTTGGGGGGCGGAAAGATACGGATACGTGTTGTCCCCGGACCTCTCTTGGGGTGCGTTCTGACCAGAATTTCGAGGCGAATCCAGCGGTGACAACGAGGATTCCCCAGGAGGACCAGGAAAGGCCGAAAACGAGGGGGGACAACACGTATCCGTATCTTTTTCTCCCCCGATATTGTTCGCAGAAAGGCAGCGGGGATCTTGAAGTCCTTGAAGGACAGGGTGCAAGGGACACACCCCGAGATGCCACGCAACGCTGCGCTGGGTGGTGGGGGGAGCTCTTGGGGCCTCGGCGCGGCCCGCGCAGCCCCCCCCCCCATGCCTCGCAGGTCGAGCTCGCGAAGATTGAAGGGGCCCCAGGACACACAAATAAATACACACAAATAAAAATGTCCCCCATATTTTCTCATAGTTTCTGGGTTTCTGTCTTCCCCCCCACTTCCCATATTTCCCCATATTTTCTGGGGAATCGAGGATTAATTGTGTCTGTGTGTTTTTCTCCTCCTGAAAGATGCAGCGCAGAGGGCTCTCGCGATGCCGGGCTCAGTGGCTGCGCCTCGCACGCCAAGCGCTCGCACGCGCAAGAAGTTACATCTTGACCAGCAGCGGCCGAATCGTCGCGCCCAGCCGCTGCAGTACCTTCCCCCGCAGGAGGGCGGAGAGTAGGATGGGCCAAGACACTGGCCATGGAAAGCACGCGTCACCGCGCCCCTCGTCGACCGCTCGCGGATCGGGGCCCACCTGGCGGCGTGGAAGCGCAAGGCGCGCCCCGTCATGTCGCCCAACTGCGAACCGCGGACCATGCTCCTCGAGCTGAGTCATTCCCTTGCTGGGGCAAAACTGGCGCGAAACGGAAGAAGCCCCTCGCCCGAAGACAAGAGGATGTCACCGTAATCGGGGGTAAGCTTATCACCATGACGCAGGTGAACCCTGCGGTGATCGGCGGCTGCGAGATCTGGGTCGAAAGCCAGCTTCTCCGAAGCAATCAAAAACAATCATCGTAGATTGGCGCCGTGCGACCCCCAAAGGTAACGCGTCGGCTGCGTAGAATCCTCGTTTCGTCGTTGTCGGTCTAGACAGCTTTGGCCGCGCCCTGGGCCTTCTGCCCGGCCCCGGCGCGGAGGTCGCCGGGTCTCTCCGTCGGCGGGGCCGCAGCCTGAGCAGATGAGGCAGCGCCTCCACCCTCGCAGCCTGCGCCGGCGCCGCTCACTCCAGGCGTGGATCCGCCGCCAGGCATGGCGGCAGCATCGACGGCAGCGTCGCCAACGCCCCCATTGCTAGCGCCGCGCCTGCGATCGGCCTGCGCGCGCAGAAAGACGCCCTTGGCTTCCTCGCGGATGGGAGGCGGGGCCCCCCGCGGCGGCCCCGAGCGCCTCGGCCACTCCCGCCCTGACGCCCGCGGCGAGGCTGGACCTGGCCCGCCCCCGCTCCCGCAGGCCGGCGGGGCCGAACTCCAGGCCCTCCGCGCAGAACGCGCGGCCGTCGACGACGGCGAGGCCCTCGACGTCGCTCTCGCCGATAGTGACTACCTACCAGACCACCCCAACCCAACCCGAAGACCCGAATTTCGGGTTGGAGGGGGTAAGGGTTCCACACATGTTTTTTCGATGTTTCCCGACCCCCCCCCACTGGAAATCGAGGGTAAATCTGAGCCTTCGGGTTGGGTTGGGGTGGTTTGGTGGGTGGTGAGATAGGGGGGGCGACAAGTCGAGCGACGAGGCGCCCTCGGCAGCGGGCGCCTCCTCCTGCGCGAGGGGGCGGGGGCAGCTGCGCGCTCGCCGCCCCTCGCGCAGGAGAAGGCCTTGGGCCCCGTGCGCCGCGGGCGCCGCCGTGGTCTTTCGCTGCCCAAGCTTCTCGCAGCAAGGTCTCGGCCTCCAGCGCCTTCCAGGGCAGCTCTCGAGTCGCGACGTGGCGCGGCGGTGCGCGCAGCCCTTGGTCGAGACATCCTCCTCCAGGAGCGGCTGCCGCGGGGGCGCTGGAGTTGGTGCGTCCGCCTCGGACAGGGGCGCCTCTAGCTTCCCCAGGAGCGCCGCCGGCGCGTCCGCGGGCTCATGGGTGGCCTTGGTGGGCGGCGTTGGAGAGCTGCCACCGCGGGGGTGCCAGCCATTGCGGTCGACCCATGGGCGCTTGGAAGCCTCGGCGGCGTTCGCTTTGCCGCGACCTCTGGGGGGCAGGGGAGGACTGCCTTTCTAGCCACCACCTTTGCTGATGTACGCAGCCTCCGCTGGCGTGGGATTGAACGGGGAGTCGGCGCCAGCGTCGCGAAACGGCGGCTGCAGGATAGCTGGAGGGCTGGGAGCACACTGGCCTCGTGGGCTGCGATCCGCTGCTGGTTTGGCCACCAACGGCCCAGCGCACTGGTGGCACAAATCATCGTTCTTGAAGCTCCAGCGGTACTTGCAGTGAGGGCAGGGCTCGTGGTACTGTCGATGCGACTTAGAGGAGCCAGTCTGCCATGGCAGCCTTTCGCCATCATGGCCATGGTCTCGACGCGTGGAACTGATGCGAAGTGAAAATCAGCTAGGTTTGGCAACTCAATCAGGCGATCGTGAACTTAGCAACTGTGGCCTGAAAGATGGGGGCGCTCGAGCCGGCCTAAAAGGGCGCAGAAAAAACCAAAGGGTGCGCAGAAAACCAAGAAGGGAAGCCAAAAACCAACGGACCACCGAAAACCACAGGGGCGCCGAAAACTAAAACGGGCGCCGAAACCTAAAAGGGGCGCCAACAATCAAAGAGGCGCCGAAAACAAAAGGGGTGTTGTAAACCAAAGGCGTACCGAAAACCGAATGAGGCCGAAAACCACAAGGGCGCCGAAAACCAAAGTCGCGCCGAAAACCAAAAAAACAAAGGAAGCTTCGAAGCTCCCCCCTTCAGCCAGGGCCCTCCACCTGGAATTGCCAACAAAAGGAAGCGAGGGGGGGAGTTCGGACCCCCCCCCTTTGGAAAGGGCTGGGCTTACCCCGGGATCCGAACAGGGGGGGAGGAGGTGGGGGGATCTTCCAAGCCCCCACCCACCTTGAGCCAAAGACCCCCCAAGCACAAAATCTTGACAAACGGGGCGGCAGGGGGGTAGCTTCGGGCCGGTAATTTCGGAAGCCCCATGCTTGCCGAGGCTCGGGCTTGCCCCGTGTTTGCCCCATGCTTCAGAAAACAAGAGGGCCGGGTAGTTTCCGAGCCCCCCCCCTTCCAGCTGGCTCCGTTACAAAAATGCCAGCCCAAGGGGGGGAGCGGGGGGAGCTTGGGACCCCACCCCACCCCAGCCCCAAGGGAGGGGACGGTGTAGCTGGAAGCTGTCCTTTCCTTATTCCCGCCTCTGCGTGGGCGCACTTTCATACGTGTGATTTGCGCCCCCACGGCTGCGGAAGCCTCGGTTCGGCACCCCCTCTGACGCAAGCTGCCGGCCGATTTGGATAAATCTCCGGGGGCAAGTAAAAATACATTCCTCCGACGGTAGGACCCCTCATGAAAATATGTTCAAACTGCCTGGGGATATTCTCCTGCCCCCTCCCTTCTCCCACCTCCTCCTCCTCCTCCTCCTCGTCCTGCCTGCTCCTCCTCCTGCCTCAACCCCTGCCTCCTTCTCTCGCCTCCTGCACCACCTCCTCCTTTTCCTTCTCCTCCACCCCCACTCCCTCTCCCTCCTCCTCCTCCTCCAACCCCTCCTCCTCTCCTCTCCTCCTCCTCCTTTCCTCCTCCTCCCTCCTCCTCCTCCTCCTCTCCTCCTCCTCCTCCTCCTCTCCTCCTCTCCTCTCCCTCCTCCTCCTCCTCTCCTCTCCTCCTCCGCCTCCTCCTCCTCGTCTCCATCTTCCTCCCCATCCTCCTCCCTTCCTCCTCCTCCCTCCTCCTCCTCCTCCTCCTCTTCCTCCTCCTCCTTTTCCTCCTCCTCCTCCTCCTCCTCCTCCTCCTCCTCGTCATCCTATTCCTCGTGCGGAACACGACCTAGAAGAAACGCACGACGTGCGTCCCAGCGGCTACGCGCCAGAGGACGATCCAGAGGAAACGCGCGCCGGAGGACGACCCGGAGAAAGCACGTGAGCTGCGGGCCCCATAGAGAGGGGGCTCCCGCCTGAGACTTCCTCGCAATTCACTCACAGACGAGGCCCCCGTTCCCCTATATGCAGGCCTCAGGGGCCCAATAGTGACGACAATTGCAAGGGGCCGATGATCCGCTCAGATTACTCACGTGAGCTGCGGGCCCCAATGGGGGGGAGGCTCCCGCCTGAGACTTCCTTGCATTGCAATTCACTCACAGACGAAGCTCCCGCCTGATACTTCCTCCACATTCAAGCCTCAGGTACCCAAAAAAGAGGACAGTTGCAAGAAGCCGATGGCCCGCTCAGATTGCTCACGTGAGCTGCGGGCCCAATGGGGAGGAGACTCCCGCCTGAGACTTCCTCGCAATTCCCTCACAGACGAGGCTCCCGTCTGATACTTCCTCCGTATTCAAGCCTCAGGGGCCCAAAAAAGACGACAGCTGCAGGCGGCCGATGACCCGCTCGGATTACTCCTGTGAGCTGCGGGCCCCACAAAGAGGGGGCTTCCGCCTGAGACTTCCTTGCAATTCACTCACAGACGAGGCTCCCGCCTGATACTGCTTCCATACTCAAGTCTGAGGAGCCGAAAAATGACGACAGCTATAGGGTTCCAATGACCCGTTCGGGTTACCAACATGAAGTGCGGCCCCCGTAAGGAGGGGACTACCGCCTGCGACTTCCTCGCAAGTCAGTCACAGACGAGGCTAGCGTGCGTGAGTGGGTGGGTGAGTGGGTGAGTGGGTGAGTGGGAGTGATCATGGCGCGTGAATGATTGAGTGTGCGAAGGGAAAGGAAAGAGAGAGAGAGAGAGAGAGAGAGAAAACGGGGGGGAGGAGAGGGCGAGAGATCCTGCGCGGAGGGCGTGCAGAGAAAACAATAACCCCATTTTGGATGTGGGGAATGAAGCGTGCGCTAGGCCCACGCGCGTGACAGCTCCTGGGACACGTAACAACGCAAGCGAGATACGCCCTCAGGGCTGCGAAAGCTTCGTTTCAGCGCACACCTCTAACACTTCTTGTCTGACATGATTTTGGGACGCGTGAAAATACGAGTGAACAACGCCTTCATGGCTGCAACACTGCCATCCACACTCTACTGGGACATTTGAAAATAGGAGTGATCTGCGCTCCAAGGCCGTTCGGCACCCCGCGGGACGCCAGCATGGCCACAAAAATATTGCAACGCTTGTTACCGACCGTCGTCGAGTCAGCATCCCTAACACCCACTGATTGCAACATCTGCGTGCACACTTTTCCCCTGGGCCGCGCCGTGACTCCCGCTCTGCGGGCTCAATAACTACGGCCGGCCCCAAGAACCCACAAAGAGGGCCCCCCGAGTCGCTCCGAGAGGACAAGGCATCGTAAGACAACGAGTGGATGTTTGCCTTTTGCCTGCCAGCCGACGGCATCCCTCCCATGATGTCTTAGGACGGCCACCAGAGGACTGAAGACCGTTTCAATATTGCCCAACAAGGCCCCCATGCTGGTCATCAGGGGTCCAAGTCCGACGCCCTCATCGATCAGTTATATACCCCCAGAAGCCCCCAGATGGTCCAAACACTGCCCAAGATAAAGCACCCAGAGGGCCCCAAGAGGCCAGATGCACCGACGAGGCTCCTGTATGTCCACCCAACGGAGCCCTAGGAGTCGAGGAACCTCGAATGGCGTACACATCAACTCTTGGAGATCCGCGCTGACTTCTCGGATCGGTGCGGGACCCCCCTCGCCGGCGCGCGGAGCGTGCCGGGAGCGGCGCCCGAGGCACTGCCCGGGGGGCTCCAGCGCCGGTCCAAGAGATCCACGGCGCGGACTTCCGCATGTGCGTGCTTCTGCCCTCTGCTGCCCCTCGCAGAGAAAGCACAAGGGTGGCTCCGCCCCGGGAGGAGGGCGCAGCCCTTCAGATATCTGCGTCGCCCTCGCGGGCACGGCAGCCAGGTCGACCTGGATCTTCGGGGGCGGCAAAGAGGGGGGTGATGACTAGGGGGGTGGATATCATGGCGTGGGCCATGATATTTCCCCAGATTTCATGGCGCCTCTTCTTATTTCATTGCGTCCCTGCCCCCCCCCCCTGGGCCGCGCACATGCCGCCGGCCATGATTTGCACCCCCCCCTCTTTGCCGCCCCCGAGATCTGCTCGTCGTCGCCGGAGCCCTCGCCCGTGAGGTTGTCCCCGGAGTGGCGCAGGCCGCTGCCGGCAAGCTTGCCGAAAAAGATGGTGTCCACGAGCTCGGCCCTCTCGTCCAAGAGCACGCCGGACCTCGGCTGCAACACGCAACCCGCAGCGTGTGTGAGCATCGTATGAACCGATCCCCATCCCCAGCGGCGTGGCCTGAGCCCACTGACCGATTTACGCCCCCAGCTGGGGGTCTAGGTCGTTCCCTCCGGGGTTCGAGGGGTGCATCGCCAACTGGGGTGGTGATTTGGTGGGGGTCTCGGAGGGGATGGGGATGGGGAGAGGTATCGGTTAAACGATGCCGAGTGTGGACACGGAACTCATTAAGGAGACTGCAGCACGTTGAGCCAACACGCAGCCTGCTAGCACGGATGTGTTGAACACGGTACGTGTTGCGTTTCAACATGAGCGTGCTAGGGTTAGGTCGGGCATGTCCGCTTACAGCTGGATATTGGAAAAAAGACAACATTGCCAGAAAAGTCTGCAAAACAACTCAGAAAAGAGCACGAAAGATCGTGCCCAGGTTATGTTCTGGCTATTCTTGAATATTCCTCCTGCAGAGGGGCATGCCCGACTTGATACTCGGGCAACTGAGTGCCAGACACGTCGAGGTCCACGCCCCTGCCCACAACGTCCCAGCCCAGCCCGGCGGTGATGGCGCTCAGCTGCGCGGTCTCGGGGAGGTCAAGCACGGCCCCCTTCTCCATGGCGAAGGCGACCTTTTCAGGGATCGACCTAAGCAGTTTTTGTTGTGTTCGTTTTGGTTTCGTTCTCCCTCATTTTGCCTCCAGTCCGCCTGTTGTAAAACGGAACCGAAACAAAAACGGTCCACGACATCGCCAAGACACCGTTTAGGTCGCCCCCTGGACCTTTTGCCGCTTCGGGGCGGCAGGGATGACTGCGCGTATCAGGTTCCCGATGGTGGGCTCCAGCACGTCCATGAAGTGCTGCCCGCCCCGCGCCGGCTCGTCCACCGCATGGAACGTCCAGGCGCCCGAGGCCGCGCGGACCAGGGTGGCCACTACGTCTACCTCTGCCTCGCTCCTCTCCATCGCTATCCGGGCTACCTCGGCATCCTTGCGCTCCTCGAGCACGTGGATCATCCCGTTCCTCACGTCCCGGAGGTGCCCCCCGCTGTGGGCGGCCACGACGAACACCAGCATCTTGACATCGGCGGGGAGCTTGGAAAGCCCGACCCAGATCGTCTCGTCGAACCCCTCTTTCTCTCCTGTCCGCTCGTCGCCTGAGTGCGTGATGCACTTGAGAGCCTTCATGTTGTTGAAGTAGACGGCATTAATGATTGTGCCCGCGTTGTTCACAACCACGGCCTGCAAGTCTACATCAATCGATGAGCGCCCCCCGTGATCCCAAGATATAGCCACACCAAGTTTCCCGCATCTTAGCGGCAGTGACTCCTGCGGGCCCAACATCCTAGAATTTCCAGCCATTTGATTGGAAATTCGCGAGCCCACCAAAAGCAGACAATGGCGTTGCTTTGCTGCTGAATGGCCTGAGCTACAGGCTTGAGACAAATGGCTGTGGGGGCGTGGGGAGGGAGAAAGGGAAGTAGGAGGAACAAAGAGGGAGTGGTGGAGAGGTCCGAAGGGAGGAGGGACAAGGAAGAATAATAATAAGAAGAAGCGAGGAAAGAGGGGGAGGGAGGGGAGGAAGGCGGAGAGAAGGGATGATGAGCAGAAGAAAGAAGAGGAGCGAAGAATCAAGTGAGAAGGAGAGGGGGAACAACCGCGCCATACACACATACCTACTGTAGGTCATGGGAAGAACTCCTTTCGATGAGCTACCCACGCCCACCCTCGTCAGCCCCCCGGAAACCCCTCGCCAGCCCTGGTCAACCCTCCCAGCCAACTCTTCTGGCCAGCCCTGGATAGGGCAAAAGTCTTTCCAGTATATGCACTTGCACGTGAGCTGGCTTCCCCACCCCGCCGAACGCTGCAAACTGCACATGCCAACGAATGCCGGAATGGGGGGCTCGTACACCTCCCACCCAAGGCTCTCCGCTGCACTCCGAGATCTTCTGAACCGTACCACGCGCGTGCTGTCGATTGGCTGCCTGGAACCTGGACTCCATCGAACTGCTTGGAACCCGCACGCGCTGAACCTGTCCCCATCCCCCCTGGCATGGCCTTGGCCCCACTGGCCCTCATACCCCCCCTGCTGGGGAAATTCGCCGGCCCACCAGGCCAGAGGCGTGCTAAGGTCTCCAGTAACGGGTTAACAATATTCTAGTTCGCGCGCGCAGGGCGGCTTCTGGGGGCTCCCGGCCGAAAAGTACCCCGACCAGTCCCGGCAAGGTCGGCTCAGAGATGGTTTTCCTCGCTCCCGGAACGCGCCAAGAAGGCTCCGAGACGCCCCGAGTCGCCGAAAGATTGCTCCAAGACGCCCATGATGGTCTCCAGACGGGCCTGGACGCCGCCAAGAAGCTCCAAGAGAGCCTCAAGAGGCCCTCCAAGAGGGCCCCAACAAACAACAATCGTCTCATTGCCTACGGAAGACGTAAATTTCTGGCATAGACGACGTTCGGAGGTTCACAGCGTCCAAGACTGCCCAAGGGCCCCCAAGATCGCCCCAATTGGGCGCAACATGCCCCCAAGATCCGCCCAAGAGGGCCCAAGAGGGCTCCAAGACGGCCCAAGAGGGCTCCAAGACGCCCCCAGAGAGGGAACTCGAAATGACATTTGAAGCTTTCCGACCCAAGGGACCCCTCCGAGACCGCCAGCAGGCTTCCAAGAAGCACCCAGAACTCCCAAGAAGCCCCCGAGAGGCCCATAATCAGCCCCCCGGGGCACCCAAACGGCCCTGACGAGGCCTCAAGAAGCTTCAAAACTGCCTCCACAAGGCTTCCGCGACACCTGCCAGGAGACCCCAACACCGCCGCATCAAATGTCCCCTGCGCCCCATCGACAAACCCCAGAGTGAGCATTCACGACCAGCAAACCCCCACGAAGGCACCCGAAGTCCAGCAAAACACCACACAACTAGCTGCCCCGTGAAAAGCGACCGATTCCCCTGATAACTCCAAATCATCCAACCGAATCGCCCCAGCATCATGCCCCACGCAACGCCTCAGAAAACAGCCGACGCCCCTGCAGCTCAACACCGCGAACGACCACTCGGCCAGTCGACGCAGCAGTGCCCAAAAATGAGCCGGCGGAATGAGCGAAGCGATTGAATTTGCCGTTCCCTTCGAGTTTCGTCGGGCCGTTCCCCATCTGGGGTTGGTGGGCGTGTTTGGGCTGAGATACCATTGCCCGGAGGGAGTGTGGATCGGTTAGACGATACTGAATGCAGGCCCAAGTTGAGGATCGCCATTGCTTCACATGGCTCGTGAATCAAAAGTGGATACGTTAGCGACGTTGAATCGCAATTGACACAACTCCATGCCGTATACCGTTCAGATGCAGACGCATAACACCGAATATGGACAGGCCTGCCCATGCTGCCGCTCTGCCCCGATTCTCTCACTCCCTCTAAGCTTAATGGAAGCGCCTTGCTCCTTCAACAACGCGATCAACGAGTTGAATCGGTAGCTTCCTCGGGCAGCGCTCGCTGTCATGCGTGAGACGGTTCTCAATCTGGACCAGGTTTAGAAGCTGTGTCCCACGATGGAAGACATAATTCTGGAGTGAGAACACATCAGCACCGACAAAACCAACACCTTTCGCCTTCGCCTACGGTGAGAAACTTGTGTGTTGGCGTGTCGCGGCGGCCCTGGCGGCACGCTGTGCCGTGCAAGCGGAGAGCGGAACGCGTGTCGCTGTGCTCCGCGGGGCGGGAGGCTCGGAGAAGCCCGGGACGTGGAAGCTCGGCGACTGGAACGCCTGGTGGGCCAGAGTTAGCGGAGCGACACGCTGAATAAACGTTCCTCACCTCAGACTCGCAAACCACGAAGCATTGGAGGGCGTGCCTGGAACCAAGGAACAGGCACAGCGTCCACCATCCTCTCCCCCATCAGCCTCCCTCCTCCCAGATTGCTCGTCACGCAAGCCTCTTCTGACCTCTCTCCTCCCTCCCCCCTCCTCCCTCCTCCTCCCTCCTCCTCCCTCCTCCTCCTCCTCCTCCTCCTCCTCCTCCTCCTCCTCCTCCTCCTCCTCTCCATTTCTACCCGTCCGTTCCCCCTGCTTCTCACCTCCCTCGCCTTCCCTGCTCTCGTAACAACCCCCGCTCTCTTCCAATTCTCCGTGCTCCCGCGTCCCCTCCTCATTCCCCCTCCCTTCCCACACCATCCTCGCGCCTCATGCCACGTCCGCGTCCCCGATCGAATCCTTTTCCTCCCACGTTCCTCCGATATCCTCTCGCCGTTACCGTCCATCCTCCTGCCCCCCTCCTGCTGCATGCCTCGCACCTCCATCATGCCGCCTCCGTGCTCACCCCTCTCTCCTCGCTGCCCAAGAACTACACCACCTCCTCCGACCTCCCTCCACCCAACTCTGCCAGCCCTCCCCCTCCCGTGGCATCACTCGTCCGACCTCCCTCCGTCAGGCGAAACCAGAAAGGTACCGATACCGCTACACCCTGCGAAATGCTTAAGAAATCATGGGTTCAGAAATTCATAGTCTCACAAATTGAATAAAAACCCAGAACTTCTATCAAAATCGCGGGATTTACATTGAAAAGTTAGGAATAATCGAAACTCTGGCCGAAAACTTAAGTTTCCTTAAGCATCGCCTAAGGTGTACTCCCCCGACCTCTCCCGGGGTGCGTTCTGACCAAGATTTTTCGACGCGAAGCCGGCGTTGGCGACGAGGGCCACCCGGGAAGCCCCAAGGGGGGGAAAAAACGAGGGAAGGGTGGCGGCAGGGGTACTTTTTTTCCTCCCCTGACGTCAGACCTCCCTCTGCCGCTGTCCCCATCCTCGCCACCCCATCTGCCTGCCCCTGTCCCCATACACATCCTCTCCATGCCCCGTTTCGTCCCGCTGCTGCTGCTGCTGCTCCTGCTCCCCCCTCCTCACAACTCGAGGATCTCAGAGGCCCAGTGGTTCTGGAGGAAGCGTCGGGCACCGCGGCTGTTCCAGAGAGCGCTCCAGAACCTGGAACGCTCTGGAACAACTTCTTACGGTTCCACCCTGGCTGAGATCCAAAGTCGCGAACAATTGATGACTACCTACTAGACCACCCCAACCCAACCCGAAGACACCAATTTCGGGTCGGGGGAGAGGACAAGTTCCACATTTGCTTTTCCATGTTCCCCGAATGCCCCCCACTGGGAATGGAGAGCAAACCGAGGCCTTCGGGCTGGGTTGGGGGGATTTCGCGGGCAATGATTTGCAACATCGCGAATAAGCACGACGGGAACCCTCTTAGACCCCATCTTTCGGATCGATCCGTGATGCTCCCGGGTTCCCGAACCAGGCGAACATGCCTGGTGAGAAAAACTTGCAACGACCGGACATCAAGGTTCCTGCTCCCCCAGAGTTTGACCATCACTCGAACGTCCACTTCCCATGTATCTTTCGACTTCGTGCGTTCCTCGTTTCGAAAAGATCTCACATGCTCCTCAATGTTCCTCGCCGAGGAAAATGCACACGTCCGAGCGATGCTGAAAAATGAGTTTCGGACTGCTGATCGGGTGCCCGTGACGGCAGGAGGAAACCTCCCCTGGGAAACCAGAAGGCACCGATACCGCTACTCACCAGACCTCTCCCGGAGTGCGGTCTGGACCAGGATGTCGAGGCGAATCAAACAGTTGCGACGAGGGCCTCCTAGGAGGCCGAAAATGGGAAAACGGGGAACTCCCCATCGCACGGACGCCCATTCCCCATACATTTGTCGGTTTCATGAGTTTACTTTTTTTTCCGCAAGATGATCCAAGATGCTCCTCGAGGGTCTTCGCCGAGCAAAAACACACGCGTCCGAGCGATGCCAAGGCAAAGAGCAGCGGTATCGGTAACTCTTCCTCCTCTGACTCTTACCGGAGCCCTTGAAAACCTCGAGCGCCGACCCACCTCCGGGCGGCGACGAGCGTCGGCGTTCCGCAGGGGTGGCCCCTCCATGGATAGTATTACGGCCCTGGGGCCCGACACGGGGTCCGCATGATGCCGAAGTCGGTGGGGAAACGCAGCCGCACATCGAACATCGGGAACGGCAGCAACAACAACAAGAACAACCACAGCGATCATCTTGATAATGTCCACTCTCATCTTTTCGCGTGCCACTCACCACGCATGTTCCAAGCCCTCGATACCCGCCCTCTTCGTCTTCCATCGTACCCCCTTCGGGTCATATCTTCCTCACCCGCAGCGTGCATTTCGTGCAACCTCACAGGCAGGGGAAGCGAGGACAGACGGAAAGATAGGACAAGGGTAGGGCGACGAGATCTATACATATCCACTGCTCCTGGCCAGGCCCATCCTGGGCCCAGGAGCTGTGTATATGCCTCCCTGGCCAGGCCAGGAGGGCGTATACACCGCTCCTGGGCCCAGGATTGGCCTGGCCAGGAGCAGTGGATATGCATAGATCTCGTCGCCCTAAAGGGGGGAGGGAGGAGGGAGCACGAGAGGGAGCAGGAGAGGGGCCAGGTGCAGCAGGCCGGGCGGGTAGACCCGAGCACGCGGGTCGGGAAGTCGGGCCCGGGCGGCCAGGTCGAGCGGGCGGGCTGAAGGGCGCGTCCTGCATGAATCGCAGGGAAATCTCGAGCGATAGCGCGATTCCAACGCGCCGCAATACATTGTTAGAAAATAGGGGGAAAACAAACCTACCTTGCTTTTGACCACCCTCGCTTCCAAGAGATACCAAACGATGCCAAATTGCAGCCTGTACTGGTCAGGCCGCTTGACGAGGAGGCGCGTGGTATGACTTGGTTTTCCCTGGAAGCGAAAGCGGGGTAGGTAATTCACGCTCTGATTGAAGGATGCGTCCTGCATGAATCGCAGGGGAATCTCGAGCGATAGCGCGATTCCCACGCGCCGCAACACGTTGTTAGAAAATACCACGCGAGAGCGCGACTCCTGGACACGTTAGGAGGACGTCCCGCGCGAGAGCGCGAACTTGAAATACATTGTGATCGGGCGGGAACCGCTGTTGATTTAAACTAGGGGGCGAGGGGGGCAGTGTGGTGACCACAGACTTTCAGAGATAAGGAGCAGCGAGCCCCGGGGGGAGCACGTTTGTGAAACTGTACAACGGTCACCGGGGGATTAAACATAATCATGTTTCAGAAATCAGAACTTTGACTACAACAGCAACACCAACACCAGCACCATCACCAACACCACCACCACCACCAACAACAGCAGCAAACACAACAACAGAAACAACAATGATTTAATAGCGTTCGCTATTACATGTTCGCGTGCCATCCAACACGTATATCCCAAGCCCTCGATATCCACCCTCCTCGTATTCGATCGTGCCTCCCTTGCGGCCTCCGTGGGCGCTCCTGGGGCCACTGTGGGCTGGGGACTCTGTTGGCGCGCTTGGGGCCTCTGTGGGCTGCGTCTCAGTGGGCAGCGCGCTGGGGCCTCTGTGGGCGCGTTTGGGGCCTCTGCGGGTGTCGTCGGGGGCCTCCGTGGGCAGCGTGCCGGGGCCTCTGTGAGTGCGTTTGGGGCGTTTGTGGGCTGTGCCGGAGACCTGCGGGCAGCGTGCTGCGGCCTCCGTTGGCTTCCTTGAAGCCTCTGTGGGGAATGTTGGCGGCCTCAGTGTGCACCGCGCTGGGGCCTCGGTGGGCGCGTTTGGGGTCTATGTGGGCTGTGTCTGAGGCCTCACTGGACAAAGTGCTGGAGCCTCTGTGGGCGCGCTTGGGGCTTCTGTGGGCCATGTCCGAAGGCCTCAGTCAGCAGCTTGCCGGGACCTCTGTGGTTCGGGCGCCTCTGGCCTGAGCGTCTAAGAGTAAATTGCGAAGGCGCATCAAGCGGGAACCCCTTGTGTCGCAAGTGGGCCTCCGCCGCCGTTGCTAAATTGTAAGGAAACTTCGAGCGAGAGTCGTTCCTGAGTCCAGGGCCTCATTGGCCAGGGGGTCTCGAAGTGCAGCTTGAAAGAATATCGCACGAGAGCCCTTGTCGTCGTGGCTAGGCCTCCACCAACTTGGTTGGTTTACGCGATGGTCTCGAACGAGAGCGTCGCTCCTGAGTTCGAGGGCCTCTCTGGCCGGGGGCTTTCGGACTACACGTTGAGAAATATCAAACGGGAGCCATTCTCGCCGTGTCTGGGCCTCGAGCGGGAGCGCCGTCGTTGGGTTCGCGGGCCTCTCTGGCCAGGGCCTGTGAAAGTACGGTAGCATCGAACGAAAACCCTTGAACTCGTAACTAGGCTTCCACCAATTTGACAGAATCACGAAAACCAAAAAGTCGAGCGGGAGCGCCCTTCCTGAGTTCAGGGGGCGTTCCTGACCAGGGGTTCTCGGAGTAACTAAATCGTGAAGAAGCATCGAGCAGGAGCCCTTGTCGTCGGGAATGGGCCTCAGCCAACTTGTCTGATTTGCGAAGAGGTCTCGAGAACAGGACTGACTGGGCCTCCGCCAACTTGAAATGGCAAGGTTCCTGAGATCGGAAGCCTCTCTGGCCAATGCGCGTCGGGGTAGATTGTGAGGAACGATCGCGTGGGAGCCGTTGTCGTCGTAGCCAGGCCTCCACGGCCACGCGTGCACAATCAAGTCCGCGCTTGAGCGGGAGCCTCGTTTTGAAAGGAAGTGCAGCCTGCGTCGAGGCGATACCGCGCGCAACCGACGATAATTCGTCTCTAACGTGGGCACTCAACAGCAAGAGCAGCAACAACAGCACATCCTCCGGGTAATTGCCTCTGCTTTCGGTCGCCCAGCGCCTCCCCGAGGACTGGGAGGACCTTGTGAGAAACTGCGGCAAGCCTATTGTGAGACCCTGAGGAGTGCGAGAGCACGCCAATACCGGCGCGTGCGTTAAAAACGACCGCGCAGAATTGAACCGCCGAGCCAGATCACAGCCCCTTGCACTTTCCCCACTCACGAGGCTTTGGTGGCACTGCGGACCGTCTTGGCCCTGCGGACTTCTCGGGGCAGAACTCGTGAGTCGCGCTCCTCTGCACGTCCTCGACATCTCGTCGGGCGCGCATGGCTTTTTTTTGTCGCACGCGCCGGTGCCACCGAGCAGCCGGGCCCAGACGCCCGCCGCAGGGAGGGCTGCCGCGGTGGCCGCCGAACCTCCCCTCCTCCCCTCCTCTCTGACTGCCTACCAGACCACCCCAACCCAACCCGAAGACCCGAATTTCGGGTTGGGGGGGGGGTAAGGGTTCCACACGTGTTTTTTCGATGTTTCCCGACGCCCCCCCCACTAGAAATCGAGGGCAAATCTGAGCCTTCGGGTTGGGTCGGGGTGGTTTGGTGGGTGGTGAAGCTCTCCGCGGGGCGGTGGCGGGCGGACGGCGGCGGCGGCGGCGGCGGGCCCTCGGCCGGCCTTCCCCGCGCGGGCCCTTCCCAGACGGCCGATACCCGGGGATGCTTCACGGCGCGGCGCCCCGGGGTCGGCTGCGCGCAAGATTGCCCCTGGGCTGCAGCGGGTCAGGCCCCTATATGCCGCCACGCTGGTTCCGGGCAGGCTGTGCTGTCCGGCGGAGGGGGACGAGGAGGGGAGAAGCAGGCAGACGACGACGAGCGCCCAGGCGGGAGGCCAGGGCCGGCGGGGCGGGCGGGCAGGCAGAAGACGGGCCAGGCGGAGACAGCGACCTCTGGTGCGCAACGTTCGGGGGCCGCGGGGGGGCCGAACCCGAGCGCGCAGCACGCCGCTATCGCACCGCGTGCAATCATCAGGGGGACCCGGCGTGCCCGCACTCCAGGTCACTCCGGCGAAAATCCACTCGTACGCATCATTCACCTGAGGTCTGGGCCCCGTCCCTGGGACCCGTGTTTCATCCGGGCCGTTTCGTCACGCTCCCCCCACGGGGCAGGCGAGGGCCCCTGGACGCCGAAAGTGACCAAAAACCGTCCGCCGAGACCTTCTCACGACGCGCGAATGTCAGGGCTCGGCGGCCCCTCCGGCGGCCCCGGCGCCGCCTCTCCGTCGTCGCCGCCGCCGCCGTCGCCCCCGGCGGCGACGGGCAGCGTTCCGCAGGGGTGGATCGGCAGCGAGCTCGGCTTGCTAACGACGAGCAGTTCCTGCGGCAGCGGGCCGCGCCGCCTCCCTGAATGGTCGCCGCCGGGGGGGCAGATGAGAGGAGGGGGGAGGAGGAGCAGGGAGGGAGGGGTGGAAGGAGGAGGCGAGACGAGGAGGGGGGTGAGATGGGACGGGGGGCGCGCGGAAGGAGGAGCAGATGGGGTCGGAGGCGCCGACATAACCTGAGGAGGGGTTGGAGAGGGGGAGGGGGGGCAGGAGGGGGGAAGAGCGTGGCGGGGGGACGAGCGGGCGGGGTGGGACAGGAGGACGAGGAACTGAGAGGAGGGCAGGGCAGATGGAGGAGGATGGGAGGACAGACTTTCCCAGCGACCACAACTCGGCGAGTGACTCGCGACGGTGATGCCTGCCTGGACGACGAGGCCTTAACAAACCTAACCGAGACAACCTGGCCTCAGATGTCGAGTCGGGAATCGGGGACTGGTGCGGCAATGGCGGACCCCCTCCAGGATACTTCCTGCGGAAGGTGTTTGGAAGGTATTCCTGTGGTTTTGTGGGGGGCGAAGAAAGATTTTGGAAGGTTGTTCTAACAACCTGCCAAAACCTTCCGTAACCTTCCCAACACCCGCCAACAACCTGCCTAAATCTTTCCCAACCAAATATCGATGTCGCACAACACATTCAAACAACCTTCCAAAAACCTTCCAAACAGCCTGCCAAAAACCGTTCAACAGCCTTCAAAATAAGCCTTCCAAAAAGATTCCACAAAACATGCCAACAACCTCCCAAACACCCCCCCAAACAACCTTCTGGATGAAGGTGTTGGTTTGGAAAGATTTAAGAGAAATCCTCCAACAACCTTCCAAACAAACCTTCGAAGGAAGGTGTTTGAAAGGTTTTTAAGAGGAAACCAGTCCCAAACCTTCATGAGGGAGGTGTTTGAAAGGTTTTAAAGAGGAAACCGCAACAACTAAGAATGTAAAGCCTTCCCGAGGAACGCTGCTAGACGGTTTTCAAATAGGTAACCCTCCTGAAACCGTCCCGAGGAAGGTGTTTGGTCAGCTTCGACGAGAAATTCTGAAAACCCTTCCAAGGACATTCCTGAATAAAGCGTTTGGAAGCCTATTGCAAGGAAGCCCCTCTGAAACCTTCTGGTGGAAGATTCGGTCGAAAGCTCTTAAGGAGGTTCTCTTCAAAAACCTCCCAGAAACCTGCCCGAAGAACGTTATGGGCGGGAATGTTTTCAAGCAGCTCTGACATGACATCTCCAGAAATCTCCCAAACACTTTCCTGAGAAATGCTTTTGTCAGGTTTTCAAAAGAGAACCCCCTGAAACCTGAACAAGGTTTTCAAACAGTTGCTTTAGGGAACCGCCAAACACCTTCCAAAAACCTTCCTTAGGAAGAAGTGTGATGGAAGATTTTGAAGAGGAAGCCTCCTGAACCCTTCCTGAAACCAGGGAATTTTGAACGGTTTGGGCAAGGAATCCCCCAAAAACCTACCAAAAAACCTTCCCGACGAATGGCTTTGGGATGTTTTTTTTTGTTTGCATAAGTTTGGGGGAATTCCCCAGTCAGACCTTTTCAGCAATCTCCGTCAGGGGCGTTTCAGGACGGTTTTCTCGCAAACGCCTTCCAACAATCATCCCCAGGGAGGTTTCTGAAAGACTCACCCTAAACACCTTCCAAAAACCTTAAAACACCTTTGTTTCTCGGGAACCCTTATAAAACTTCCAAACACATTCATCTGTAAGTTTTTGGGTGCTTTGTTGGTGGAGGATTTCCTTTCAACGATGATACATATATATATATATGTACACATAAAATTGTACATGTATATGTAGATGTATACACTTATACATAGAGAGAGAAAGAGAAACGTCCTCAGGAGGTTGGTGGCAATATTCATTGTTTGAATCCTGTCGGGGGCTTTGCTCGGGAATCTGTTTGAAAAACTGTTTGGGGGGCTCCGGTTAAAACCGTCCACCAACTTTGTCATGCAGGTTCTCGGCAGGGCGCCCCTTTGAACAAAATCCACCAACGATCCTGTAGAAACCGTTATTGGAAGGTTGGTGGAATATTCCTCTGACAAGCCGCACGACTACGTTCCTCAGTACGGTTTCAGGAAATTGATCGCGAAAACCCTTCCAACAACCTTCCTGAGGAAGGTTGTTAGAAGGTTTTTGTTCGAGGGTTCCCCTCCCAAACATCCCCCTCGCGAAAGATTCAGGATACTTTCCTCCTAAAAACCTTACAGCGATCGTCGTCGGAAAAGCGGTTGGGATGTTACTGGACGGTTCCTTCACAATGCCTTCGCAAAACCTTCGCCCAGAAGGTTTCATAACCAAAAAAAGAGTTTCCTCATGCACATCTGAGACACAACAACGCCCTCTGGAAGGTTTTGAAAATGTGTGGAATATTCCCTTGCAAGCTTTTGAAACACTTTCCCCGGGAAGGTTTCACGATGATTCCGTCGCACGAGCCGCCCAAAAGCCTTCGTCGGGAAGATTGTTTAAGAAGGTGTGTCTGAAGATTCCTTTTGGAAGCCTCCCAAAAACCTTTCGCAGGCAGGTTTCAGGAGGGTCTCGCCGTCAAAAACTTCCAAAAACCATGCGCGCGAGGATGCGTGGACGGTTTTTGGCGGATGCATCGCGAAGCTTTTCAAAAGCCTCCTCAGGAAGGTTTCAAGGGGTTTTCCTTGTTAGAAACCTGCCAGCCGAATTCCTTAGAAGGGTTGCGGAAAGTGTTTGCATAATTCTCCCTACAAGCTTACAGCTAACTCTCCCCGGGAAGGTTTCAGCAAAGCGCCCACTTAAAAACCTGCCAGGAACCTGTGCCAACAAATATGTTAGTAGGGCTTCCCACCAAAAAAACGGCCAAACACATGTTTCAAGAAGGTTGCTTACAATTTTGATAGAGGGCTGTTTTTCCAAAAGCGTCCAGAAACCTTCCTCGGGAAAGACTCAAGAGGGCATCCTACTAAAAAACCCTTAGACAACTTTCTTCCGGAAGGTTATGGGCGATGTCGCGCGGATTTTGATGGGAAGCCCGGCAGAAACCTTTTTGTTCAGGAAAGTTTCAAGAGGGCTTCCTCGTGAAAACCTGCCAGGCACCCCGTTCAGGAAGGTTCCAGGAGGGGTTCCTCCTCAAAACCTTCGAAGTTGGCCGAACTGCCGCACCCAACTGGGGGATGGACTACAGAATTGGCTTGCCCAAGAAGTGGAGGACGAGACACGGCGGGGGGCTCGCTGCACCGCGCTACTCACGGTCACCCCACGCACAAGAAAGATCGGGCGTCGGCGCCAGTCAGCTCTTCACGTCCAGCCGCGTCGCGACCTCGTCGTCTAGCCATCCCGCTGGCATCGCGACAGTGATTCGGGGCCATGCCGGGCCCGCGGGGGGCGCGATCTTGAAATTCCCAAATCGCAGCGCTAGCTGACGAGGTCTGCCGCCGCCTTTTCACTTGCATCAACGCATTGTTCGTGCGCAGGTTCGCGCCCAGAAGAGGAGGGGGACGAGACGCGGCGGGGGGCTCGCTGCACCGTGCTACTCACGGTCTCCCCGCGCGCAAAAAAAAAGATCGGGCGTCGGCGCGGCGCACTCAGCTATCACTTCTATAGCAAGCCCAGCCAGGCCGCGACCTCGTCCTCTGGCCAGCCCGCTGGCATCACGCCTGTGAGCCTCGTCGCGCGGCCCTCCGCCTCGAAGGCGTGGGTCGCTGTTCCGCGGAACGGCCAGTGGGGGGCCGCGACGAGGAGCTTGGCCTTGCTCTCGTCGTGGGGCTGCTCGATCTTGATGGCCTGCACGTCCAGTTCCAGCTGCTCGCGGCTCACGCTCGGTTCGCCCGATGCTGGCTCGACCTCGTCGAGGTGTGCCGGGGGGCGGTCAGATAGAGCGACCAATTCCCTCGGCAATTTCGCGCACATGACCCTCCAGACCCTCGACCGCGCAATATCCGATAGCACGCGCGCCCCTTCTGAGGACAGACCATCGGGACAACGCGGAGGGGGGCAAACAAATAGCACACGCACGAAAGGAGGCAGGGCGGGGGGGGCGGGATGGCGCCGCCGCTCGAAACTTCATCGCGCCCGCGGAGCCGCCGCTCGGGAAATCCTCGCAGCCGCGGGGCCGTCGCTCTCGCAACCGCGGCGCCGCCGCTCGAGACGGCCTTTCTGATCTCGGGGTCCCCCTCCGAAGAGATGTTTCGAAAATGTTTCCAGCAAGCCTGCAATTTGTTGAGCATCCGAGCATTGTCGCGATGCCCCGGGGGGGTGCGCACCAGACAAATAGAACACTGCCCCGAGGGGGGGGGCGCCCTCGCTCTTTCTCCCCCCCCTCCTCCTGCAGTTCCTCCTCGTCGTTCCTTTTGCTCCTCCCCCTCCTCCTGCTCCTCGTCCCGCTCCCATTCCTCATCCGGCGCGGGGCGGGAACCACCCGCAATGTTTTTCTCGTAAGGGTGCTATCCCCCCTCGTGCTCCTCGTCCTCCTCCTGCTGCTCTCGTGGTCCTCCTCCTCCTCCTCCTCCTCGTCCTCCTCCTCCTCCTCGTCCTCCTCCTCCTCCTCCTCCTCCTCCTCCTCCTCCTCCTCCTCCTCCTCCTCCTCCTCCTCCTCCTTTATTCCAAACAACGATAGAGACCCACGAAACAACGGCACGTCTGTCATTGGGAAGGGGGGCGGCATCCGAACGCGGGCCAGAGCCCAAGAGGGTCTTTCAGAGCGCCACTCGCTGAACTCACCAAGGCCCCAGGGGTGGCCCCCGGACGCACAATGCGCTTCAAGAGGCCCCCAGGGCCGCCAAGATGTTTCCAAAATGTCCCAAGTGGCCTGCGCCCAACAAGCTACCAATAGACTGTCGAAAGTATCCCGGGAAGCATCCAAGAGGCATGCATGCGTAGGCATCCAAAGACTACGCGGACGCTGGCCCTGCACGGGGCGCGGGGCGAAAGCCAAAATGGCCCTCGCGACTGCCCAAGAGGTCCCAGCGACGGCCCAAGAGGGTTCCAAGACGACCCCCCCTCCTACGAGCGCGCCAGAACAAAAAAGAA